CTGGGGTTTCCAGGAGAGCTTGGCCTTTTCATTAACACTTGAGCTATCGGTCTCCTCCTTTGGGCTTCTTGGTTCTTCTATTACAGTACTGTATTACTTTTGCTTTACTGAGGTTTTTTTTTTAACTCCAGTTTTAAGCCTGTGAAGCTATATTGGCACTTTGGAAAGCTCTGATTCAATCTGAATGCTGATTCAGGCTTCCTTGCTTCACTTTGGATTGGTTTGGAAACAGACAAATATATCTGCTTGGCTTATGCCTACTAAGAACCTTTTTTGAAAAAATATACAAAATAATAAAATAGATTCTCCTTCACTATTTCACTGTTTATAATCCCTAAAATTAATATTGAGCATCTATTATTTGTATAATAATGGCATCCAAAGAAGGAAACATGGATTTAATCTACCTATCACTTTTTCTTATTTATACTGCTGTCTCCACAGATCTACACCATCCAGTTTGTAGTGTGCCATGGAAAGTAAATGTACTGTATAGTATAGTAGCCCAGTAAGTAGTGAGCCAGTCAATCTTTTGCTGCAAAGGAGGATGGTATGATCCTACAGATATTATTTAGTCTGTCCTAGGTGATCTCAAACCTGCCATTTGCTCAGATGCTGAGAATGAGCAAAATCTATCTTGTTGGGCAGGGTCCACTTACACAATGGGAATGGCATCAACATCAGTGGCAAAATGGCTCAATTAAAGGTTTGTGGTTGTGATTTTTTCGGCACATTGTGTGTGAGCCAGGGGCACCCTGAAATCACAAAAGAAAGGTTTTGGTTAACAGAATCTACCAGTGCCAGTGACCTCATTTCTGTAGTGTAAGTGAGCTTTGCAATAGGATTGTAGTTGCTGAAAAATTCTGAAAGAAAGATTGTTTTTGTTTAGCAAAATCATAGCACTCGGAGTGGTTTCTGTGACCTACACAAATGGTCTTCCGCACCTGCACAGAAATTGATCAGAACTTTCTAGAGATGAGAAATTTTGTAGCTCTGCCTCAACCCTCTACCATGCATGTCTTTGTACGCCACATTGGTTCTCATGAGTTTCGATTGAATTAATTGAAAATAAAAGCAGATGATTTGTGGTCAGGTTATCAGGAGTTATTTTAGAAGCAGTGGTTGAAACATAAGGCAACATTTTTTTTGTAAGAATGCTGTGTCTTCAAACAGGAGATTAATATATCCAGACGGGTTGTTTTTAACAGATATTTACAATGGTAAAAAGTTCTTGAACTCTAAAATACAAATTATGGGTCTGACATGTCTTTAAAAATATCCGGGTAGCTGATTTATCATAACTTATGGCTGAGATCACCTAAACTAGTTCTGCTTATCAAAGGGTGGTGGTGGTGTTTTGTTTCGTGAAAGGAGGAAGCCATTCAATATGGCAAACTGTGGGCTGTTTCAAAATCAGATTTCAAGGCAACTGAGAAATTTGTTGTCTCAAGAAGCAGCTCCTTGAATCTTAGCTTCTGCAAATAGATATAATAACTGTGTGTCATCAAGTCAGTTCTGATTTATGATGACCTTTTGCAGGATTTTCTAGGCAGAGGGTACTCAGAAGTGGTTTACCATTCCTTTCTATTGGGGGCACCCTGGGACTGTGCAGCTTTTTTAGTGGAATCTCTGCATGTTGGGCCAGTAGCATGCTTGTATCAAGCATGGGGTGTCAGCTATCTTTCCAGTAGCCAGACTTTAGCCCATGTAGTAATGCAAACTACTTACCTTTATCCACATTTGCCCTTATTCATTAAGGCGGCAATGGCCACCTGTGTATTCTGGGTTTGTTTTAAATGTAGGAGACAGTTTTCAATGTAAGTGCTTATTCAATTGTGTGCATATAAGTTGTTGTGCTCGGATCCATGTGCACCAGTTGTTTTAAAGGATAAATCATAAGGCATCCTAAGACATCATAACTGCTTATTGGTCATGGATGTTGTCTACCTGTTTTTTGAATTACATTTGTGACCCCGGTGAACAAATAGATGATATCAAAACCAGTCCCCCGTTAAGGTGCCATGCGATCTTCTAAAAGAGCTTTCTTGTCACATACAAAGGCACAACCCTGATCCTTCAGTGGAGCTATGTGAAGAAGGGATGTATTGGGAGACATGGGTTCAAATCCCACTCAGTAATGAAGTTTGAAGTGTGATTTTGAGCCAGTCACTTTCTCTCAGCATAATTTAATTCACAGGTTGTTCTGAGGGTAAAAGGGTGGGGTTGGGTGGGGATGAACCGTGTACACTTTTGAGTGATTAAATTGCAGTGCTGCAGTTAAGTCTCTGCTCATGATCTGAATTCATTCCTGATGGGTTCAGTAGCCAGCTCAAGGTTGACTCAGCCTTCCATCCTTCTGAGGTTGGTAAAATGAGTATCCACCTCACTGGAGGTCAAGTTGTTGTTTACGTAATTATGTTGCAAACTGCCCAGCGGGTGCTCCAAACGTTATGGGGTGGTATATAAGCTTAAACAACAGCCAAAAAGATAAATACCACCACCACTCTTTTGGCAACATGAGACTTTCCTGTGGCTCATTTATAAACTTCTAGAATTGATTCATTCCCAGTGTGGTGTAATGGATAGAGTGACTCTGGAGAACAAGATTTGAATCCCCACTTGGCGATGGAAACTCACTTGGGGGAGTGGAACTGGTAAAACCACTCCTTAGATATCTTACTTACCTTGAAAGCCCTATTAGGGCCACTATAAGTCATTTCCGGCTTGACAGTACAGAACACAAACAGAAGCCTATACTGGACTGTGCTGTATGTGAAATAGTTTATCGGAGAGGTAAATGATTAGTTTTGACATGTGATCTTCCTTTGAAACAGGTGCTGCTTTTATTTTTTTAGTTCCCTGCATTTAAGTCAAACAGTAGAGAAGTGAAGCTGTTCTTTTCTGTATAAAGTGGGTGTCTTGAGACCTCTAGTGAAAACAATTGGTGTTGCAGGGATTAGGTATTAGGGAGCAGGTGAACAACAGAACAGGAAATCTGTAGAGAAATAGTTTATTCTCTTAGAAGCATGATTTGAACTATTTTGTCAGCAAATTCTTCTACTTCATAAATTGCTGGGAGTTTTCCTTACAAATATGGAATATAAATAGCATTCATATTTAGTGCAAATATGTTGTGAATTCATTGACTATGCAGTATTTTATGCCTGTTGTCTTTAGTTAGTCCCTTCTATTAACTTAATTTTACATTGCTCTTTTGCACTGTAGGATTGTTTGAATTCACTCCCAATCATCTCAGAAGTCTTTTCTATGACCTGCTGGTGTTTGGTGCCTTTTCAGAGTATGTTCATCTGATATTTAAAAGCCTCCAGTGCTTGCCAGTTTGTTGCACTACCCAATACATTGACGTAAATGGTTGGACTGTACCATATTTTGGTCAAAACATGGGGTTTATTTAATGGAATGATGTAAGAAAGAAAGAAGCCAGTAACTCTCCAAATTTCTGTAGTACTATTTATGTACATGGATGAAGGACCGTGAAACTCCTTGTGGACCCCACCTTCCCATTGTTATAAACATCTGTTCAGTAGAAAAGTAAAGGCTGATCCATCATAAGTGTTGGGTATGACACATAGTTTATAATAACATTCTGATGCTATGTTTAAAGCTTAGAATCAGAGTGTCAGTTATATTTGATAAGTACATGAAACTTTTAGCCTCTCTTGCTCCTTTACTTGATGCTCATTCAAAGGGATTCAATCTGGGAGGCCTCTGTAGTAGCCCTATCAGTTTTCAGACACAGGTAATTGATGATTTGGGAATTCCATCAAAGGTAAAACTGTTGATTTAGTTTATTAATACTGTATTTTTATAATTTTTTGTTACTGCCAGGAAGGAAAGATAGTGGTGGAATTTTCCGTCTCAGATCCCAGAGCGATTTGATTAAACTTTGGGTATTGTCTCCTTGGTGTGACTTCAAAAATCATTTGCAGCTTCGCTCATACAACAAAACAGCTTGGGCCAGTTTTGTTCTTTAATACTTGATTGGGTTTTTGATTCACATATATTCAATATGGGATGCTTTGCCATATTTTTGATGTGTATTCCCTTTCTTGTCTCACAATTACACTGCTGTAGTGCTTTCTAAAATTATGACAAAACTGTGCACTTGTATTTGTTTGTTTCATTGTTACCTAATGTATTCTCTACTTTTGTGGACTCTCAAAATAGCTAACATGGAAAGTTTAATATAAATACAGTATCAACAACTTTTCTTGGTTGTATAGGTTAGAAGTACAGAAACTAAATATGTAGCTGGATTCATACAAAGCTGGGAACTACATGAAAGAAATAAGAAATACAATCTCTCTTGAGTGTGAATTCAAGCCCGTATGTTCCCATTCCCATTGTAAACAATGGAATGGGGAAAGAAGACAGGGATCCTTAGTACAAAGTGAAGGGGGAAAGCTGAAAAGCTGCCTCCCTCCGTGCTCTACAGAGCATGGTTTGTCTGGTTTAGATTATACTGAATGTCAAAGGATTGCTCTGCCCAGTTGCGGAAGGATTGTGTCTCAATAATCCCATGTCCTCAACGTGGCAGGAGGTAGGATGGGGAAAGAACCCTGTACAAAACTTTAGAGCACACTTCTACACTACTTAGATAATACAGACCTATACAAATCAAAGGTGTGATTATGTATATGTTTCTATAGCTCTTGTATCTCTGAAATTTTTTTTGATAGCTATAGAGATATGTGGAGATCCTTTGAGAAGAAACAGGCAGCTGTGAGCTGTCCTTTTTATTTATTATTTATTTATTTTATTTATTTATTCAATTTATATGCCGCCCACACTACCCAGAGGTCTCTTTTATAGTTAAAACATTTTATCTGAAAACAATTTCAAATGAAATGTGATATTTTAGACTGTTCATTCATTTGGCTGTTGATGTAGATTGTCAGTTACAAACACCACACTGATTATTTTTAGAGAACATTTAAGTATAGCTTCTTTATAAGATATATTTTTATTTTCTAATATAGGTTCTTTTGGAGCCAGGAGTAATCCAGGATGTGCTTGCTGCAGGAAGTCATCTGCAGTTGCTGGAAATGCTTAGTTTATGTTCACACTATCTTATCCAGGTGAGATTTAAAAAATGTTAACTTATATTCTTTTGAGCAATCTTCCTTCTTATATATTTCTTCATACGAGATTGTCATTTTGAAAGCCCAACAATCAGCTGTTTTGATCGTCGTTAAGCGAAAAATCAGTTCCCAAAGCAGGGAACCGATGATCATGAAGCGATTTTTCCCTATTAAAACATCGTTTGCGATCACAAAAACTTCATCGTTAAGCGATTTTCTCATCTAACGAGGTAATCATCAACCACTATATCTGAAAGAGTTTTTTAAGGTGTAAAGGGAATGTCTACACATAAAAAACTATTCTGTAGAAGAGGAATGTTTGCTGTGAGACTCCTCTACAAATTTCCTTGACTCTTGGGGTCTGCTCAGGAGAATCTGAAGAAGAGGTGGAAATGCTAGACCTTTTAAACTGACTGAAGTTGTGTGGGTTTTTTTTTGTTATCCATTTTGTGGTGACCTCTATGAAGACTGTGGTTAGTGCAGAATGTAGCTCTTAGTTCAGTAACTGGGATTCAACAGAATGGCTTTACTAGCAGAATCACTCAGTGTCAGAAGAGTTAAAGATCTCTTAGTGCCCTATTTCAGTTTTCTTTACTTCTCATACAGCCAGATGCCTTTTCATTCCTATGGAGCTACGTGGCTTCTCATTCTCTCTTTCTGTCCCCTCACGCATCTGCATCAGTGCTTTTACCTTTTCCCAGTGCTTTTTCTCTTTTCTTTTGAACTTTCTGTACTCCCATTTTCCCCCCTTAGCAGTCTTTGTTCCATTTGTGGACAGGTATTTGGACTTTCTCCCATTCCTCTTCTTCCTCCTTCTCCTCAGGCTCAGGTTACACCTAGAGATGCTGGGACAGACTACAATATATTTTGTATCCAAAGACAGTGATATTATCAAGGCCTTATGGAGCATCTTTTAAACAGCAGTGACATCCACAGATGTTTTCAGACCCAGATAATTTAGAGATAAGAAATCACTGTTTCTGTCAAAACTTTATAAATATGACACTTTTGCTTTGGAAAGATTACTTCTGTATCAAAACCCTGTACTGACTTCTGATTCCCTTCTTTGTCCCTTCCCCAGCCACTGCTTTTGCCTGAAGCCTGAAAGTTGTGTAAAATGTAATTAATGGAATGTTATGAGCAATCAGTGGGGGACACCTACACCTTCAGTAATAAGGTGTTGGCTGAGGTTATAGATTCCCTAACTGCAAAGTAATAGTCCCTCCCTTTTATATGGATGTTCACCTTTGTTTTTGCTTTGTTTTTGTTTTGTGGCTACTCCTCACAAAGTATAAATGAGCAGATCGCTGCCTGAGGCTGGTATTTCTAATGTTTTAGAATGGGTCTTCTCTCCTTTTTGTCTTGGTTGACTAGGAAGCGAAATAGCAACTACAGTGCAGGCTGTTTGTTGAAGGGAGGAAGGTAGAGGCTAGAAATTCCTGGGTTGAAGGCAGGGGAGTAGGAACAGCAGCACTCACCCAGTCTGTTCCATGTGATATATCAATTCTTTGTTATGCATCTAAAGTCTATATAGCTTATAGTTATATAGCTAGTTATAGTTTATAACTTATTGCCTAACCTACAGGCTTAATGGGTAACAATTGATCTGACAAAAGATGCAGTTCTACTATCCAGAGATTCACATAGGGTGACAAGAGCTTTCATTGATACTTGCATTTTGCTTGCTCATTATGGCAATACAAATTGTTTGAAACATGGGGTGGGCAACATTGGACCATTTTATTGTTCCATTTTTCCACCACAAAAAATGAGACTTGTTTTTTAGAAGCCACAAAGAAACATGATTCTCTTTAAAAATTCACCTCAGTGCCTTGTCTCATTGAATCATAAGCATGGGTAGCCTCCAGACTAAATGGGGTGCACCTCAACCCAAAATTCAGGGATAGGGTGATCTCCCTCACTTGATAGTGAGAGTGGCACAGGTTAATAAGAGTTTAACAAAACCAGAAGTGGACTTCTGGTATGGTGGATTTAGAGGTCCTGGAAAGAAAAGATTTGTGATTTGTGGAAATTTCTTGCCACATTTTTAAAGACCAGGGCTTTACAGTTTTGTCTGTTGGTTTTCAGAAGCTATGGGGTGCAAATGGCTGCTAAAATACTGAATGGTTTGGAAGCTAAGGATATTGGAATCTGATCAGGTGCTGCTACAAAGAACACTGAGAGCCACATATTCTGCTCTTAGAAGGTTTAGAACAAGTATAGTTAACACCATTTTGAATCTGCATTTAAAAAACACACCCTTTGTGCATTTGGTTACTTCAGTCTGTCAAACTTACTGAAAGCTCCATATCATAGAGAGCACTAGGAGTTCTGGGTCCTTCAACATTTGCCAACTAAATATCAAAGACTTGTTGCATGTATTCACACCTGACTGTACATTATTGCACTGCATGTCTGAAAATCACGCTTTCTATATTCCGGGAATGATTATTCTTCATTTCATTTCATTAGATGCCAGAGTTATCCAGTGGACTCATGTAGCAAACAGAAAACTTTCTGAAGCTATAATCCTCACATTTCAATTGTTTGCTCTGTTCATGTTTGTAAAGTCAGAGGGACTTTGCACAACAGTTTGGTCAGCTTTGGGGATCGGCTAGTTCGCTCCTTTTTCAGGTGATCACATAATGTAGGGCAGCATAAACTAGCCTGTCCCTTATCCTTGCCTACAAGGAGATGCTTCATTTATAGCTCCATTTTGCTTCAGCTCTGACATGTGTGAATGTCAGGATTGAACCAAAGCTGATGGCTTAAGTTACCAGTTTGCTTAAGCTACTTCATATGGGATTTGGAGACCATACTTCTGTTAATGTAGCCTAAAATAGCATTTGCCTTTTTTTCCATAGCCACATCACACTGTTGGCTCATATTCAGCTTGTGATCTACAATGACTCCAATATCCTTCTCACTTGTTGTATTGCTTAGCCAGGTATCCCCCATTTGGAACTGCGTGTTTGGTTTCTTTTTCCTAGGTGCCGTACTTTGCACTTATCCCCGTTGAATTTCCTTTTGTAATTTTCAGCCCAGTGCTCAAGCGTATCTAGATCATTTTGAATTTTGTTTCTATCTTTCAAGGTGTTAGCTATTCCACCCAGTTTTGTGTCATCTGCAGATTTGAGTAGCATTCCTTGTATCCCCTGATTCAGGTCATTAATTAAAATGTTGAAGAGCACTGGGCCCAGGACTGAACCCTGGGGTACCCCATTTGTTACCTCCTCCCAGTTCAAGAAGGAGCCATTAGTCATCACTCTCTGAGTAAGATTCTCTAGCCAGCTGTGTATCTACCTGATAGTTATTATATCCACCCCATACCAAATTAACTTGCTAATCAGAGTATCACGGGGCCCTTTGTCAAATGTTTTTTTGAAGTCAAGATATACTATGTCTGCAGCATTGTTTTATCTATATTGTTGTTGTTTTATTGTTGTAAGCCGCCTAGAGTAATCTTAATTGATTAGATAGGCGGGATATAAATAAAATAAATAAATAAAATAAAATTCTATCAGGGAGGTTACCCCATCAAAAGATGAGATCTGATAGTCTGGCAGGATTTGTTCTTGACTAATCTGTGTTGGCTTCTAGTTATTACTGCATTGTTTTCTAGGCATAATTACGGCTTTATAATCTGTTCCAGAATTTTCCCTGGGATTGATGTCAGTCTGACTGGTTTGTAGTTCCCAGGTTCCTCCTTTATGCCCTTTTGGCAGATAGGGACAACATTAGCTCTCCCCAGCCGTCTGTCACCTCACCCATTTCCCATGATTTCAAGAAAATAATGGACAGTGGTTCTGAGACTTCTTCAGTCATTTCTTCAGTACTCTTGGATGCAGTTCATCCGGCCCTGGATATCTGAACTCATTCAAGGTACAGTAATAAGATATTCCTTCACCATTTGTTTATCAATCTCCAACGACCAATGTCTATTCAGGGTTAATTATTAAGTTCTGGCCTAAGCTACAGAAGCATTTCCATTGTCTTTATTTTAATTCATGTAGTATTTTTACATTATTTTTAGACTTTTATAAGGTAAGCTCACCAGGGTGCCTTACAACAAAAAATAAAGTCAATTTAGAATTCTATAACAATTTAATGAAAACAAAAATGCTAACAATCATTCAATTTACCTGTAACTGTGATCTGCCACCCACTGAAAAGTGCTTGTTTTAGACATGTACATCGGATAATATCTCAGGGACAGATCTTGCCCTGAAGCAGTTGCTGAAAGAAGCAAATTCAATAAAGTGTATCATTCCGCTGCCGCCCCCTTCTTCTTGTCTGTCACTTCTGAAAAGGAGTCAAAAAGAGAGGAGAGTTGTTTAGGTATTATACTGAGGTCCTGTGTCTCCTTCATAGAGGTCAAGGTGGCATGTATGGCGTTTCCTCTTTCATCAGTACAGACTTTGTTTTTGCTTTATCTTCAAAACAACCCTGTGAGGGAGGTTAGTCTGAGAGATGTTTTCATGTCTTGGTGGGGATTTGAACCCAGATCGCCCTCTAATCTTGGACCCTTAGATATTCCTGAACTACAGCTCTCAGAAGTCTTGACCATAGTCTCTGCTAGCTAGGTCATCTGAGAGCTGTGGTACAAGAAGGTATGGGCATCAGTGCTATAAGCACTGAGTAATGCACTGTAGTTGTATTAGACAGCACTCTCTGCCAGTTTATTTGATTTCTCATGGCTGTTCGATGCATTAAATGATGAAATATGTATCTGGGCACTTGCTTAAATTAAGTATTCCTTAGTGTCTTTCATTCAGGTCTGTGCTGAGTGATAATGAGTACAATACACAGTTTTGTATCAATCTGTCACTTAATTTGTCTTTCTTTTGGCAAGCTGAACTACTTGGTGTATAATAAACATCCTATAGATCTCAGTCAGTATTCATCAGGGGGAAGTTACTTGGCTGGAGGAAAGCATTGGCTTCTAAAGCAACTAAGCAGAAATTATAAACACCTGAGCAATTTGCTTTTAAAGATACTCGAGGAACTTCCTGCAGTATTCACCACTAAGCAGTAGGTGGCAGTGTCAGTTCACGTGTGTGGATAAATTACAAAACATGGGAAAGAAAGAAAAAAAATGAAAAGAAATTATTTATTTTGCTCCATATTAGTCTTGTGACCTAATCAGTAAAAAAGTCATTATTCACACAACACTGGGCAATATGCATTGTAATTTTTAACAAATAATGGGAAACTGTTAACGGTTTCACAGGAAATACGGCCCCGTCTTGTGCAGCAGTGGTCATTTATCATTGCACTTTGTGAAATCACTCATTTGTTCTAATTTGAATGTAAATGACTCTAAGGTTTTACAAATAAGGTGACAGACTCACATAAATGTAATTGCAGGGTTCATCTCTCTCTTTTTATATATCACTCATTAAGTTATGAATTAAATACATCGTATTAAACCAGGGGCATGTCCAATGATGATATTGTAATGGCAAATTACTCTATGCTATTAGAGGTGTATTTTTTATTCATGGACATTAATTTGTCATTAAACGGCATTAGTTTAGCACTTTTATGTGGGAGACGTGACCTGAAAGAGGAGACTTCCTGCTCTAATGTGAGAGAATAGAAATATGAGTACCAGATGCATGTAGTCCTTTTAGCTCTTGGAAGGAAATAGAAGAATATTTTATTTCAGCTTTCCCCAGCCTTACCCGCCCACATGCACCAAATTTTGAAATTGGTTTTTCCTCCATGTTAATAGACATCTCTGATGAACAAGTTGCCTTCATATTTTAAATCTTGCTTCTCAACCGGAAAGCTTGTGAGAGAGGTTAAGATGGGAAAAGAATAAGTTCATCTCCAGATGTATGTCAGATGCTTGCTGGGTTTTGGCTGATTATTCTTTTTTAGCAGCCTAAAATAGAAGAAATAATCTGCTTAGCTTTTAGTAAAGTGGATGGGCAATAGTATTTTGAGTTCTGTATCTGCCTTGTGAATGTATAGGCACATGCATGTAAGTAGGGAAGAAAACTGATCTAATTCTACACCAAAACACATTTCATATATTAGGAATGAATTAATGCAGATTGCATATTTGATTGGCATAAACTGTTCTTGTCTGTATAATCAAACAAGTCTTACATTCAAAGGGAACACAGTAGGCATGGTGGTCAGAGTAGACAAGAACACTGTTTTAAGTTTTGTACCCCGACCTTTGAAGTAACATTATGGAATTTTGGAACTCTTTTTAAATTTTCTTTTAGAAGCTCTTGGATTTGAGACTGTTTGCACAAACAGACATAGACATAAGCACACTTAGATTATAAATCACAAGGCCTTTGGACACGTAAGCAGACATAGATTAAAGCTGTAGAATATAGAGGAAGGCTATAGGTTTACATAATGCCTGTTATTTGAGATTATAAATGTTATAGAGCTACCAAAGTTCCATTTAATGTCACTTTTTAAAAAGTTGATAAGTAGGTGCTAAACTTGTTTTCAAGTGTAATTTTTATATTAACTAGCAGAGAGTGACTGTAGTCTGGAGTGTTCCTGGGTTATGGCAGGGAATAAAAGGGGACCCAAATGAGAAGCAGCTAAAGAGGTAACTAGTTTATTCTCAGAGGGACAGCTACAGACATGAACCTAATGGGCTTGGGGAAACATCTGGACAAAACAGAATAAATAAGTGACCTCAGAGACAAAGGCCCCTGTTGACTAGAAACACAGCAGAAGGAGTGAGTCATTATCCAGTTTTTGACATATATAATTGAATGGGTCATTTTTGTCACAAGAGGTGAAGTGGAAGGGAGATCCAAGTCATGAAACAAAATATCCCAAGGAGTTGCCTTCATCATCTTGAGCTCAGTCTCGGATTGAAGACTACACCCTGTTAGTGGAGTAAACTTGCATTATATTCTTTCTTGCTGTGAATGGTGACATTTTAATTATTGTTGTGTCTTATCTTGGTTTCAGTTAAAATGGATCTTTTACATAAACTTGCTTAAGGTAAGCTGTATCTTATATGTGCCTGATCTTATGAATAGTTACTAAAGGTAAATTAGGCAGTGATTCAACTAAGCCTTATGGCTTCAGAATATCTCCCAGAAATTTCATACATCACCAGTCAACAAAGTTTGAGAATATTCAATAGATGTTTGCTTCAGTGATCAGGCTTAGCTAGGATTAAAATTGGGAGGTTCCTGACAGTTTATCCTTTCTCTTACAGTTAATCAAGGTTAGCATTACATGTGCACTGAAGTTATTAAACCAGGATGGGAAAACAGGAATAGGAACTTATTTTTAGACCTAATTATGATCAGTGTTAATAATGGAACAAAAATATTTGGTGTGAGCACTGATACATCATCAAAAAGGACAACAAAATTCAGCAGTGCATGAAATGGTAAAAGGAAAAAACATAAAAAATATTTTACTATTCTTTACCATATCTGGCCACTGGAGGGTGCCAGAGACCATGCTGTGTATTTTTCACTAACAAGTATTCATGGCATGGTCTCTAGCTCCCTCTAGTGCCCAGTTCTGGTAATACATGTAAAAATATTTTTTCTCATATTTTTTCTTTTTAATATTTAAAATATTTTCAGACCATGGATAAGTGAAACGGCAGATAACGATCCTGCGGATATGGGGGAGGGCTCCTATGGTATATGAAATTAAAGGTACAGATGCAAAATGATTGTTATAATTTAAAGGCCAAGATCCTGAAACGTACTTCTGCTGTCATCACTCTGTGTACAAATTTCAGTGGTGAATTTCCACCATTGAACTTAGCACTTGTTCTTCTTGTCATACACGGGTCATGTGTGAGCTGCACAAGAAACAATCACTGCCATCATAATCGGCAACAATTTTCTGTTAAAATTCGTGCTGTGGGTGTTATACTTGTGTCAGTATGTAATAGGATTTGGATCAAGAAAATAATATATGTATCTCACTGAGAAAGAAAAACTGAGTTTGCTATCTAGCTGCTCACTATGTATGAGCAACTCAGGATCATAAGCCTCCTTCTGTAACGTTCATTACTTTGAAGCCAGTGTTGAATTGGACAGACTTTCCTTTGGAGGACACCTTCAAAAGGAGGATTGTCCTCTGTGTAAAGGAGAACATGTGACTACCCATTACGTAACTAATTTTAAAAAAGCCAAGGAAAATAAGTGTTAAGTAGAAGAGACATGGGAGTGTTATCAGCCCAAGGGGCACTTGGGAACTCTTAACTATGCTTAAGAGATCCATTGCTAATAAGGTACAATCTTCTCAAAAAATTCCCTGTTTGAATACCAATTGAAATTAGTTAGAGATGTCCAAGAATATGTTACAGTATTGCAAAAAAACATATTATAGTCAATGGGAATTTGCAGAGAAGGCAACATGGTGGATTATGACCTGTAAGGTGTGCTTGCTACAGTGGCTCAAGAGAAGAATGTTTTTAGTTAAACCTTTGCAGAATTGATACCATTGTGATGTGGTAAATGATGATGAGTATGAGGAACTGAAGGAGTGAGTCATTATCCAGTTTTTGACATATATAATTGAATGGGTCATTTTTGTCACAAGAGGTGAAGTGGAAGGGAGATCCAAGTCATGAAACAAAATATCCCAAGGAGTTGCCTTCATCATCTTGAGCTCAGTCTCGGATTGAAGACTACACCCTGTTAGTGGAGTAAACTTGCATTATATTCTTTCTTGCTGTGAATGGTGAAATTTTAATTATTGTTGTGTCTTATCTTGGTTTCAGTTAAAATGGATCTTTTACATAAACTTGCTTAAGGTAAGCTGTGTCTTATATGTGCCTGATCTTATGAATAGTTACTAAAGGTAAATTAGGCAGTGATTCAACTAAGCCTTATGGCTTCAGAATATCTCCCAGAAATTTCATACATCACCAGTCAACAAAGTTTGAGAATATTCAATAGATGTTTGCTTCAGTGATCAGGCTTAGCTAGGATTAAAATTGGGAGGTTCCTGACAGTTTATCCTTTCTCTTACAGTTAATCAAGGTTAGCATTACATGTGCACTGAAGTTATTAAACCAGGATGGGAAAACAGGAATAGGAACTTATTTTTAGACCTAATTATGATCAGTGTTAATAATGGAACAAAAATATTTGGTGTGAGCACTGATACATCATCAAAAAGGACAACAAAATTCAGCAGTGCATGAAATGGTAAAAGGAAAAAACATAAAAAATATTTTACTATTCTTTACCATATCTGGCCACTGGAGGGTGCCAGAGACCATGCTGTGTATTTTTCACTAACAAGTATTCATGGCATGGTCTCTAGCTCCCTCTAGTGCCCAGTTCTGGTAATACATGTAAAAATATTTTTTCTCATATTTTTTCTTTTTAATATTTAAAATATTTTCAGACTATGGATAAGTGAAACGGCAGATAACGATCCTGCGGATATGGGGGAGGGCTCCTATGGTATATGAAATTAAAGGTACAGATGCAAAATGATTGTTATAATTTAAAGGCCAAGATCCTGAAACGTACTTCTGCTGTCATCACTCTGTGTACAAATTTCAGTGGTGAATTTCCACCATTGAACTTAGCACTTGTTCTTCTTGTCATACACGGGTCATGTGTGAGCTGCACAAGAAACAATCACTGCCATCATAATCGGCAACAATTTTCTGTTAAAATTCGTGCTGTGGGTGTTATACTTGTGTCAGTATGTAATAGGATTTGGATCAAGAAAATAATATATGTATCTCACTGAGAAAGAAAAACTGAGTTTGCTATCTAGCTGCTCACTATGTATGAGCAACTCAGGATCATAAGCCTCCTTCTGTAACGTTCATTACTTTGAAGCCAGTGTTGAATTGGACAGACTTTCCTTTGGAGGACACCTTCAAAAGGAGGATTGTCCTCTGTGTAAAGGAGAACATGTGACTACCCATTACGTAACTAATTTTAAAAAAGCCAAGGAAAATAAGTGTTAAGTAGAAGAGACATGGGAGTGTTATCAGCCCAAGGGGCACTTGGGAACTCTTAACTATGCTTAAGAGATCCATTGCTAATAAGGTACAATCTTCTCAAAAAATTCCCTGTTTGAATACCAATTGAAATTAGTTAGAGATGTCCAAGAATATGTTACATTATTGCAAAAAAACATATTATAGTCAATGGGAATTTGCAGAGAAGGCAACATGGTGGATTATGACCTGTAAGGTGTGCTTGCTACAGTGGCTCAAGAGAAGAATGTTTTTAGTTAAACCTTTGCAGAATTGATACCATTGTGATGTGGTAAATGATGATGAGTATGAGGAACTGTGTTGGCTGCAAAGGGACTGGGTCTCTTAATGCACTTGCTTACAATCCAGAAAGCCATAGATAATCGTAGATTGCATTTGAATGTAAATTTTGGTGTAGATTTTCCCCAGATGGGTACAGACGTCTGAACTTAATAAATGCAGGAATATTATATTCCTTCCCCCCCCCCTTTTTTTTGCTTTTTCTCTATATTTGGAGTAGGAAAAGCATAAAAACAACACATTTTGTTATGTGTGATTTCTACATAATTTTAGTAAATTACTCAATGCAGTATGTATGTGTGAGAGAGAAAGGTAGGGAGGGAGGGAGGGAGGGCAAAGTGGGCCAGTATAGCTTGGAGTTTGCATAATACCTTGATTTAGAGCTATTCTGTAATCCAAAAATAAAGCAGGTGGAGTAGCAATTGGGTATGATGCCTTGGATATTAATGGCTTGGCTCAACGATGGAATTTCTAAAGCTGTATACACTTTTTCTGTCTTAATTATGCATTCATTAGAAGCTTTTATACCCAACAGAATAAAGTAAATATTTTTTGATCTCTGTAGTGTGCTCCCAGATTGTAGATTTGCACAGCAGGGTCTTGATAATCTGAATAAATTGTATTTCCCCAAGGAGTTTATCTTTCAAATAAGGTCATAAAGAAATGCAGTCTCTCCCTTAGTTCTCCTTGTGTTTTTCTTTTCTTTTTATAGCACAGCACACAGGAACAGAGGTATATTGTACTCTGCTGTGTACTTCATTGTGATTAACTCTCATTTATCAGATTCTTACTTACATACAACCTTTACTGTGGCACATGCAGTTTTTTCCCCCTTAAATGTATGAAGGAAAAAGAAGTATTTATGGAATAATACTAAAATAAAATGTTGATTAATATTTGTTTTCCTATATTCTGTTTTGAAATCTGTATTGCCATATTAATGCATGTTAACTATAGAGGCAATTTGTATGTGCAGCTATATGTCATATAAATACATCATGCTTGCCTACACAGCTTTTTGGAGAAGGAAATAACTATGAAAAATATTCTTGTACCCAATTTATTAAGTTTTGTGGAATCTGATAAGATGAGATTTTTCAACATGCATTCATTGTTAAATCTCTTTAGAGTCCTGTTCTATACATGTTTACTTAGAAGTAAATCCTATTGTATTTAATATCTATTTATAAAAATATGTGCAGAAGACTACAGACTTATCAAAGAAAGACATAATATTTTCAATAAGCTTTTTATTATAAAAGACATGGAATTGTTGTTAAATGTAAAAATAGTGAAGTTGAAAAGAAATGAAACAAATTCACAAGATTGGTGAACATTTTTATAAAGCAAAAACTAGTATACTGTAATCTTTACAATAAGCTCATTCTCACTTATATTAACTGTACCAATCATTACATTTTGAAGAAACAGTAATGCACACAGGAAATAAATGAGCAAATGGGACATGATCCAAGTAAGATACATCTTGATGTGAGGATGGTGCATATTTCAAATGCATGATTAACCTTCCTCTGTGGAACGAGTGAGGTGGGCCATGTTCTGTCTGTGTTGTGCAACCTGAATGGAAGCAATATTAGTTTATTTACTTTATTTTAGTTATTTCCTTTCTAGTTTACTTACAAAATAATAAGTGGGTAAATAGTGGTATAATACATTGTGTGGGGAAAAAACCCTAGTTATCTGAGAACTGATGGATTGCAATGGGCCTGTAAATTATTTGCCTGACACTCTGGAGCGATATGGGAATCTGGCAGGACAGTACAAATCTGAGGACAAATAGCTCCCATCTGGGCCATCAGCAGCATCACAAACCTACCCAAAAACATGACAATGACAACAGCAGTGTATGTTAGTAGGTTTGGTGGAGATGACTGTTCAGTCTGGTCCAGGAGAAGAATGAGATCAGTGCCATATACTCAAGAGAAGAAGGGCAGATAATCAAAGCATTGGTACAAGAAAAATCTGAGAGTCTCTGAAACAGATTCTCTTAGGTTTATAATGTTTGGTTTAAAGGAAAAATGAAAGCAAGTCCGGTTATGCATAGACCGCAGGTCTGTTCAAGGATAGCAGAAGGATATGGTTTTATATTTTCCATGGGAGCTTTACCTGCCATTTCAGTAATATCTTCAGGAAGTATAAGTGCGGTTAAGCTAATGAATATGATTATTTCTTTGATGTTTTTGCTTGGTCCCAGGAGTAGACAATACTGGTAAGGAAAAGAGCCAAAGAGGTCACTGCATGTGGTATCCAGTTCTTAGTTCCCTTGGTTTATGGATGAGTGGCCCTCAAAATGCACTGGCAATGTATGAATTGGCTGGATTATGTATGATATCTTATGTAGCTGGTTTCAATAATGTATGAATTGATGTGGTGAGTGTTGACAATCCTAAATATGTTTTTGCATGTCTGAAGGTAAATATGTCCCCCCGCCCAGTTCTGCAACATTCCATAGTGAGTCCTCATGTCCCTCGCTTCTTACAGACATTTGCAAAAATTTATCTGAGCCATGCTAATCAGATAGATGGAAAAACAGTTGACAGGCTTTTACATATGAATATTAATTGAACATTGAGCATGTGTTGCAGTGTATACAATAACATGGCAAAAATCTGAGCCCTAACCCTAAGTAAAATAACAAGAAGTTAATATTGTCAGTTCCAGACAGTTCTTAACAGTCCTTAAACAAATTAATTCTGGCTGAGAATCCTTTTTATGTCTACTTCTTCTACTCTGGTAATTTTGTTTGTGTGTTTGTTTTGTTTCAAAATCCACAGAATATCTTTCAAGTAACTTGTCCTAATTTTTTATTTGTGAGGAGGAGGTACTAAAAGAAAATAAAGAGTTCATCTTTTGCACACAATTTCTATACTTTCATCATGTCATTATACTTCCAAAAGCCTGTCACTGATTGGAAGGTGGGTTATCTGATCAGCAGTATACATTTCACAATCTCAGCATGGTATTTTTTGGTATGCAGCTTCATCAGATGGATAGCTGTGTATCACAGTGTATAATTTTAAGCTGAGCAAGTGATTGGTATTAAAATGCAGTGAATTTTGTTGGAGAAGACTGATAATGCTTGCCTTCCATGTCTGTGGAGTTCAGAGCTAGTTTTGTAGCCCTGAAGGGCAGGGATCTAGTTCTATTCAAAAGAATAATGTAGGGCAAAGTTTGAGTTATTTTTTTTACCAGACTGACCTTAGCTTAGAAAAACGGCCAGCATGTGATTGAAGCCCAGTAGTTAAAGTCTAGTTATAGATGAGCCATTTTGGTGCACTGAATAGTATTATATCTGGAAAGAAAAGAAATATCTGAGATGGTCACTCTCTTGCAGCATAATTTGCCTTACAGCATTATTACAAAAATAAATGTGATAATAATTTATAATGCGATAGATAAAATATGGGGAAAGAATATAAATCGCAATAATAATCCAGCTACACACACTGGCTAGGATTTGAAGAACTGCTTTATGTAAGCTCAAAGAGTTGTTTGTTTGTGTTCATCTTGCTGACTTTGAACAGCAGATTCCCATATTTTATAATCTCAGATTTCACTGAATTTATAGAAGTGTTTTGATGTGTGGGTATGATGTTCAAGAACGGACTGCATGTTTCTAACCAAGAAATTGTATTATAGGGTCACAGATCTAAGGGAAAGGAAGCTCATGGTGGCTACTCTCTTTTTCAAAATGATCTGCCTTGCCTCTGGCACTGACCAGCAAAGGACAGACAGCTGGTGTGTAATGTCAGTTTTCACTCAAAACACAGTAGAAGAAATATTGGGGTTGTTGCTTCTTCTAATTTCAACAACTTTGTTTGATAGAACAAAGGGAAGTATTGATTGTGGAGATGTGGCTTGAGGAAGCCTCTCCTTTTCAGAAAAGTGATTAGAGGAATAGAATGATGGCTTTCTGTGGAAAGAGTCCAGAGAGAGAAAATGATGGGAAAGAGAATATCTTTTGTGCATAATTTAATGTAGAATTTATAGTACCATAATGCTGTCAACAATTTGCCTTGTATATGTACCACTTCTAATAACAATTCTTTAATATCTCTCTGTGTGAGTGCGGTTAGATGTGGATGAACGACTTCTTAAATAGCAGAATGACATGTCATTCCTCCACAGTAGCTTCTTATGCTTTTGTTTGAACACTACACTGCTTCTAAAAGCATGTATTTTGTTTTATCTCACTAGGAGTTAAATAGCTTCAATTACCTGGATCTTTATAAGCTTGCTGACCTCTTTAACCTCCCTTTGTTGGAGAAAGCAGTAGTCGACTTTTTAGTGAAACACCTCTCTGAACTACTGAACAGCCGCCCAGAAGAAGTCCTGGCACTACCATACAGCCTCATCCGAGAGGTCTTGAAGAGTGACCAGCTTACATCACTGAGTGAAAAACAAATTTGGCAGGTAAAGTACAAACATAACTAGAAGCTTGTTAAGCTGCAGTAAAAACATTGATGTGGGTTCTTAAGTATGTTGAATAAACCACAGATGTCAAAAAGCAATAGAAGAAACATGTTGGGGGACAGGCCTTCCATGGTTGTGTATTGAAGAATTCCTCCAGGGCACATTGTTTTTCTGTTTCATCTCCTCAGCGTGATGATGCTTTTCAGAAAACACATGTTTCTTGACCAAGTGGAAAATGGAGGTTTGCTTGGGGATATAAGGCATTCATGGACCTCCCATTTGGTGTAACAGTCTAATACAGGATGCCTGCACAGGCTTGCCAAGGTAGGACACTATTGCACCATATAGAAGTTGGTTCATGCATTGAGAGACGTGTGCCTTCATTTTGCTTTCTGAAAAATATAGTACAACCAATTATTGTGAGCTCATACTCTTGTTGTTGTGTAACTTGTATGGTCAGTGGTCCCCAACCTTTTCCGAAGCGCAGACTGGTGGGGGCCGGGGTCCGTGTGGGGGGGCACCACCTGCTCATGGGTGGGTGGGGCGTGCTCACGGGTGGGTTTGGTGCGCATGCAGGGGTCAGTGGGGTGGGTGGGGTGGCACGCTCGCGTGCATGCATGGGTGCGTGGGGGCATTCAGGTGGCTGGTGCGCTTGTGTGCATGCGGGGGTGAGCATGGTGTACTCGCAGGTGGGCATGGTGTGCATGTGTGGATGGGCATGGTGCATTCGAGGGTGAGCGTGGCACGCTCACGCAGACGTGCAGGTAGGCGGGCCACTCGTGCGTGTGGGTGGGCGGGCCGTGTGTGCATGTGGGTGTGCATGGGGGGAGTGCGTGGGGAGGGAGGAAATTTGTCTCCATGACCTGGGCCTGCCATGGACCAGTAGCGGACCGGGGGTTGGGAACCCCTGGTCTAGGTTCTTAACGTAAGGGGCAGCTGACTGTTGGTATTCAGTGTGTATCCCCAGTTTGCAGCTACAGAATATACAGAGTTGTTTCTGAAATATGCTTTACTAATGAAGGAATGCTTATTCCTGTAGTATATTGAGATGAGAACTAACAAATTGAATTATAGTGGTGCCTCGACTTACGAACGCCCTGACGTACGACCATTTCGAGTTATGACCAGCTCCGGCCGCAAAATTTTGCTTCTACTTGTGACCAGAGCTTCAAGTTACAACCAGAAAAAGGCAGGGAAAAAAGGCGGGGAATTCAAATTGCTAACCGTTGATGGCGAAGAGGCTGCTTCTTTGTAGGTCTTTCGCCCCAGCAGTTAGATAGTGTGCGATCGATTGGAGGAGGCTTTGAACTTCCTGGTAAGGTGCTGCTTTCTACTTTTTAAAATTTGTTCTAGGTGGGTTTTGCAGCATGGTTTTGGGCTAGGTGGTGTGATTGTGTTTCTATGCTGTGATGGGTCTTGCAGGGTTTGTTTGTTTTTAAGGTTATTCCCCCCCCCCCATTTCCAATGGGTCTTGCAGGGTTTGGTTTTTTGGGGGGTTATTTTTTTCAATTTCCAATGGGTCTTGCAGGGTTTGTTTGCTTTTGGGGTTTTTCCCCCCATTTCGGATGGGTCTTGCAGTGTTTTTTTGGTGGGGGTATTCCCCCCCCCCAATTTCCAATGGGTCTTGCAGGGTTTGTTTGCTTTTTGCTTTGTTATTTTTTCCCCATTTCTGAAGGGTCTTGCACGGTTGTTTGCTTTCTGCTTTGCTTTTTTTGCATTTTCGAAGGGTCTTTCACAGTTTGTTTGCTTTTCTTCCTCCCCCCTTCGGCTAGAACGGATTAATCATGTTTCCGATGGGTCTTGCATGGTTTGTTTACTTTTTTTTTCTCCCTTTGGCCGGAACAGATTAATCACGTTTCCCATGCGTCTTGCAGGGGTTTTTTGTGGGGGGTTTGGTGATTTTTTTTCCTTGGGCCGGAACGGATTAATAGCATTTCAGTGCATTCCTATGGGAAATGGTAATTTGACTTACAACCATTTCAAGTTACAACCATCTTCCAGAACGGATTAAGTTCGTAAGTCGAGGCACCACTGTATGTGCCTTTTGCTAGGGTACTGCATAGTATATGTCACTCTTATTTTGTTTAACACATGGCTTTATTAATAGTAGGTTATGCTTACTAGATGTTTATTAAAGTGCTGAGCATAATGTGTGTTGATGGTGAAGACCATGGTTCATATGCTGGCACATATATGTGATTCTCAGTGGTTTCCCTTGGCTGCAGTACATTGTGTCACTTGAATCCACATGGATCTGCCAGGAGTTTAAAATGGCCTGAGGTACAAATTGGCTGTGTTTCAAATGGGCATCCCGAATGCCTGAAATATGGAGAAACATGCAGTTGGCAAGAAAAGCAGTTTGGCCATGTGCTAGTGAGATAACCCCCTTCTTGGATGCACACTTTAACATGGTGTGTCAGAGAGGTGTATCAGAGAAGTTGAGAGCATTGCTGTTGGGAGGCTAGACTCCCATTGTGAGCCTGGACTCCTTGCAGGTTATTGAAAGGCAACATGGTCACAGCTGAGGCACCAGACTAAGAGGTATACATCCTGTTCAGGAGTAAGAGAAGGAATTGTTCCAATGGTGATGGGGCACAGAAAATTCTGGAGGGCAGCCAGTGGGCGGCAGCAACAGCTGAAGGTGACACAAAAACAAAGAACTATTACAATAACCAATGCAAAAAAAAAAATAGAGGAGAACAAAAAAAGAGGAAAAAACAGCTGGAGACTGCAGCCAAGAAATTAGAAGACTGAAACTTGGATGGGGAAGCAATGAAGGAATTAGAAAAGATGATGAGGTGTAAGGATGTGTCATGGGAAACCAAGTCCAATATCATCCTCTTGTATGGATATGAAAGCTGGACAGTAAACGAAGCTGTCAAGGAAAAATATAATTCGTTTGAAATATGGTGCTGGAGGAGAGCTTTGCAGATAACTGGGGCTCTCAGAAATACAAATAAGTGGGTCTTAGATCAAATGAAGCCCGAACTTCCTCTGAAAGCAAAAATGTCCAAAAAAGAGGTGTCCTACTTTGGGCATATCTTGAGAAGGAAAGATTCAGTGGAAAAGACAATAAAGCTGGGTTAGATTAAAGGCAATAGGAAGGCCAAATATGAGATGGATTGACTTCATTAAGGAAGTCACAGGGTTTTGTTTATAAAAGCTAATCAGGACTGTTGAAACCAAGACATTTTGGAGATTGCTCATTCATGTAGTCGCCAAAAGTTGAAGCTGACTTGATGGCATGTAGCAACAGTGAAGAAAATTGAGATTTTTGTTACCCAGAAATGGGCCCTATTCCTGTGTGAAAGAACAAAATAGAAATATGGTATTGAGGTTTCTGTGGAGTAAACAGCTCATGAAGAAATTATGAGTGTCTGTTCCTGTCTTGTCAGAGTTACTGCCGCTGGTACTGCATTCAGCAATGGTTAATATGCTGCTTTCTGAGTGATAGCAAACTCTACACTGACCATTTTAGGAGTTTTCATAATTGCCTCTCTAACGGTTACTAATGCCATTATGTAGAATATTTAAGCTTTTACACTGCTGTGGGCAATATATAGACATAGAGCGGGAGTAAGAGTCCTCCAGAATGAATTAAGACACACGTAAATATTTGCCATTGTAAGCTTTGAGTGGGCAATAAGAAATTGTTTTTGCTTTATCTTAGTAAATAAGTAATTCCCTGATAGTCAACCCAATACAAGAAAATCAAATCAGGCCTGCTCTGTTGCCTCAAGTGTAGTTAAGTTCATCATTTTTGCTAAGGTTATACTGGTAATGCAATATACCATGGAAGAATCTAATATTCAGCCCAGGGTGAAGATTGGGTATGCCAGAGGATTAGTGTCAGGGTGCTTTATAGAAGTGAAACTTGATATACAGGCTGGAGACAGAGCCACAGAATCTCATTAAATTGCTGAATTGTTCATTACTGAGCACTCTCCCTTTAATAAAGTGCTCATTGACTTTGACAAATCCCCATCCCGTGTCTTAAAGGACAACAACAGAGCAAGAGGTACCAAGGAAGAAAGAGGAAATTGGCCCCAATTTTTATTTTTTGAAAACAGGGTTTGCAATAGAAAATCCTGATGAGGATTGCTACTCTTTGGTTCCTGTAGCATGCTAATCGATGTGACATTGGCAAATACCATCTGCAGCCATGTTGTGTATGCACATGCATGCACAGGAATAACTCTGATTTAGTATTCCCCCTCAAGGCATTATCCACTTGTTGAGCTTCCAATAAGCATTGACTACAAATTTAATAGTGTCTCTTCTCCTCTCTTTTCCCAAGGGCAGGACCCCTGGAGTGGATGGCCATATTGCCAAGGTATAAATAATTCCTCCAGTGTGTCACTGAAATGATGACTCACCCAATGTATATTCAGGTTTAGGTAGTTAGAAGAAAAATCTTTCTCCGACTTTTTGGCTACTAGTTGAGGCCTGGCTATGGACACAAGTTTTTGCAACTCGCTCTGAGTGGTGGGTTACCTGTCAATTGAGAGAAAGGTCTCTTATTTTTTTGTTCATAGTGGAATATGCTGTATTAGTTGGAATAAAAATGGCAAAGAACATGGTATTATTTAAACTGCCTTGACAAATTTAAATAAAATCCATTTAAAATAAATGTTCTGGACAGTCTTCAAATAAATGAGAATGCTTAAATGTGTTATATTGATATAAATGATGTTGGAGTACCAGAATTTTTAAATTTATTCTTCTGAAAATTCTGACATTTTCAGCTGATAAGACTGCCACAGCCATATCCTCACAACTGTTTCAGCCTATAGGGCAACAGTGTAAGGCAAATGCTAGCCTCCTGGGAATTCACGTATGTAAAGTAAACTTATAGCTGAGGGACCTTTCAGGTAAGCTGGAGGGACGAAAGCATTCTTTATGTTTTTGTCCCCATCACCTCCTGTAAAGTGTTACAGTTTACAGCATTACTTTTATAACATACAGTGGTGCCTCGCTTAATGATTGCCTCATTAAACGAT